GGCCGATCCCAACAGCCCCCTAAATCTCTCTTCAACCCTACTAAGTATTGGTAAATATTTTTCATGATCTTACAACATAAATACTTGAATTTCTACAAGATTCTAACATCAAATCATCCTCCTATCTCTAGTGAAATTAAGAATTCAATTCTAGTGTTCAAGACTTGACTTTTGAGCAGGTTTATCAAGAATTCTTCCTTCCAAATCAATGTAAGCTTATTCTCATAATTTCTTAGTAAATCCAACATATAATTATGTATCTTAAACAAGAATCTTCCATCAAAACATAGGATATTCAATAAACGAATTCAAGAATTTCAAGAAAGGATTTTTTTATCGTTCTTCATCAAGTTAAGGTTCTCATTTATAGATTCATGAAGTGTTTGAGGTATGTAAGGCTTCAATGAGAATATCCATTCACGCTCATATCTAATGTATTTTAAATTCAAGGAATTTGTGAAACTCTGTGAAGAAAAGTTAGGATTTTCATAAAAACTACGATTTTCCTCACAAGCTTATATTTCCTTTAATCTATTTTAGCCGTTAAAACCTCATTTTACTGATTTAGGATGATTTCTATAGTCATTTAAACATTTATGGTTTTCAAGTATGAAAATTTGCAAAATATGAATCTGAACCTTAATACAGTGTGATGATCCAAGCCTACACACTGAACGTGGCCGACACTTGAGAACCATTGTTGGTCCCCAAGTGAACCATCATCTTTGCTGACTACAAGCGGAAGACTAATTCAAGCATACACAAGCATCAAAACTGAAAAATTATTTATAAACAGCTTACTAAATCTTAAAGTTATCTAAAAATACTTAGCATTAAACATAATGTTTTAAATATCATATCTGAAACTGAATATTGCAAGACTGACCAAGAATGTCTATCTATGAAGCCTTTACTGTAAAAAGAATATGTATCAGGACAGGACCCAGGGAACCTCAAAATGTTACTACTAACAAACCATTAAACTGGAGGTGTACGAAAGCAAGGAGGTCTCACCTAAATCTGACGAACGGATGATATGATCTCAACGGAACGCGTGTTGAAAATCCTAAGTACTTAAATCTGCATCATGAAAAGATGAAAGTCGAATGACATCAATACTGAATGTACAAGTATGTTATCGGGCTGAATAAAATAAATAACTGAATTGAAATGTTGAAAGTATCTCAACTAAGGAATAGCATAAGTTACGATGAAAATCATTTAATGTTCTTACTGTATGGATGAAAAAAAGTAAATATTGTACTAAAGTGTGTATATATATATACACACACACACTTTACTAGGTAGTTTCTCTAACCAACAATCATCACAATGTGCCTTGTTAATACAACATCTTACTCATGTTGCTAGAGTTTCCCTATACCTTGCCAGAGTATAGAACACTACTAAATTGATGGATCCACTAAAAATCCTTCTTTAGGCAGCTAAGGAGTTGCCTGTCTTGCGGTACTATCTTATATACGGTGGCTACGTAGTTTATGGGGGCTGTGAATTGTTTGAACTCTCCCCCATATTGATGCTCAATACTATATGTATGTATGTAAGCTCATGTAAAACACTCATTGGGTTGAGTCAATTACTCAAAAGGGTCTCTTTAAGAGTAAAATGAACTGTACACATTTTTTGTGAAAACTCTTTATACTTTTCTGAAAATGGCACTATCTTTTCAATGTGAAAAAATAATACCTACTTTAAGGGGTAACTGAACTTCTCTTTATTTGGTTGAAATGTTTTTGAAACCTGTTTATGCTCTTCTTAAAAATAGAATTATTTTCTCAATGTGAAAATAGTACTTTTGAAACCACTTGGGTTCCCTTAAACTCATCTCAAAAGATACTTTAAAAATACTCTTGAATCCACTTTAAAATTTCAAAACCAATGCATGAAAATAAATGCACAATGGAGTTCAATAAGAATCTCATCAACTAGGGTTCATGTGAAATATAAGCATGAACAACAACTCAAAGATATCAATGCACATAATATAGCAATCTCATAATATAAGAATTTAAAATTCAGAACAAGAACATAACTCATATCAAGAATTTCATAAAAATTGAGGGTAGAACCCTAGATTCAACTTGCTACTGCCTCGGTGCGCGCCCACGCGGAAAATGCTTGGTCAGCGCGTGGAAAGATAGTGTCCAGTAAAATGGGAATAACCTTTTACTTCAAAATCCAATTGATGCAAACTTGGTGGCGTTGGAAAGAAGACGCAAATACCTTTAATTTAATATATTATATGTCATATAACTCTTCATATTCTAAGAGATATGGTCGTATGAATTTAATTCAAGTAGAATCTTGCATCAAAACTTAATTGGTAAGGAATCTTTCAGCTCAACTTTGTGCGAGGGGATTCTTGTGACCTTAATTCATCTCCAAATTTATTCTCACACTAAATAATTAACCTTAACACCTAAAAAAAAATTATGAGTCACCTAATACAATCTTATACGTAAATAAAGAATGATTCAGGTCTTAGATTAGAATTTTTTAGAATGTTACATGCAGGTTATACACAGTTAATGGATAGATTTTGGCCTTCTCCCGGCCATATGTTAGATGTTAGGTCCTTAAAGACTTGTAGACTAGTGCTATATCTCTAATATGTCATATATGGCCTTATGCCTTGTTATTTATTGATGTCTGAAATATCAAGTACTTATTTAACTTTGAATTTATCACATAAAAGTTATTCTTTTATTTGGGGTGTCATCATATTTTCAATACAAAATATAAGAATTCAGATGAGATTATATTACGATCCAATAAGGTCATGAGTGGCACCCACTGTTAACCTTTTAGGTGGGTGAACTAACAAATTCAAACCCCAACTTATATTAATTGTTCAACTTACGAAATATAATCATAATGCGGAAACTCAAATCGTATTAATATAAGATGCAAAAATTCACTAGAGTCTATTACATATCATTTCCAAAACCTAAAAGTCATCACATCAAGGACATTTAATCCCCAAATACTAAGTCCAAGAGTATCAAAGACACCATAATAGATAAATTAAATAGCTTGTGTCTCAGAAATTCGTCTTGTAGACTTGTATGGCAACTCAGTTATTCGAGACAACGACTACTTTTAATCATCATGTCTTCACTCATTTAAAGAAAAAAACTAAGAACTTCAACAGGGCAATTGTTGGCTCATGGAAAGGAATCGAAACCAGTTTACAACAAGAAAGGATTAAAGAAAACCTTCCGTTTTGATGAAAAAAACCATGTATGGATTATGAAAGAATATCGTCCTTCGCATTACGAGGAGTGTCAATTCTTCTCAGGTTATCATTCCTTCGGATCAGAAATTTCTTGATTCTCTACTAATTTCTTCATCACAATGTCAAGAATCCTTTGCTCAGTATAAGTTTCAAGAAAATCAAGATTCGGAACAATTCAGCCCAGTTAGTTTAGTCTTAAAAGAAACAAATAAATGTGTCTGCTTCAAAAGAAGAAGAATGCTCTGTTTCTGTGATTCATCAAGAAACTCCCTCTTTTAGTTTAGTCCAGAAATAGAGCATTCTTCTTCTTCTGCAGCACTCACATTTGACGAAGATTGGTTTTACAGATCTATGGAGTTAAGAGTTGGTGATAGTTGATACAACTCAAATCTTACAATTTTGTTTGCCCAATTGTATGTGTTTTTTATTTTCATCTGTCAATGCACTTCCACTTTTCTTTTATACTTTGTGGTTTAGAATTATTTTTTTATAAAAAAATTTCCTTATACATGAAAAGAAAACTGCATTATTTGAAAAAATAATGATCGGAATTCAAATTGTGGTTATAAAAGCTAAATTGCACAAATATGTTAAAATTGTTAAGATTAAGCGAGTCAAATTGAGCGGATCGCAATCGAATTTTCAGCCCATTTAAGCTTAATCAATTTTAACCCAAAATAAATTTAAATAGATCATGATCTAACCTAATATTTAATTCAATTCATTTTAATATCTCTAATTTCAGTTCAACTTGTACATTTGAGACCCTAATCACATCACATGTGTTACTAATATGCAAATGTATTTTAAATTAAAAAGTTGTGAGTTTTATATGTATTTATATAGAGAGAGATAACAAATGAGTGCAAGTTTAGGTGGCCATTTTTCCTTGCAAGTTGCAACTTAGCCGCCACATTTGAAAACTCAAATTCTAATAATATATAGTCTATTATCTAATTCGATCTTTTTCACCTAACAAGGCTTTTTTCTAAATAATTAATTCAAAATGCTTGTTATTCTAATAGTATTTCCTCCGTTTATTTTTAATTTTTCTATTATATAAAAATAGATGTTTATATTTATTTATTTAATTTAAATAAAATAATAATACATAATTTATCAATTTATATTTATTTTATCCTTATTATCATAACTCACTTCAATTATATTTCAATGAGTGAGATAATGTATGAGTAATAATTAGAACTGATATAGTAAAATTGTCATTTTATTTATTATCCTCTCCGGCTCAAATATAATTATTTGTTGTGTTTTTGTCTTTACACGTTCCTTAAAAAATTATTGATTAAGAGAATTTTAATTATTTTATCCTTTTAAAAAAATATAATCTCTTTGCATTCAATATTTACTCTAGTGTCATCACTTTATAATTAAAGTGATTATAGTCGTTAAAAACAGTTAATATTAAGAATAAAATGAGAAAAAATATTAATTTTATCTTGAAATTTTAAAATAATAAAGTTGAGATAACTATTTTAAAAATTACAAAATATATTTTAAGATAGAGGAAATATATTTTTTAAAGGGTGTGCCAAGTTAAATATAAACAAACAAAGTAATGGATAGATGATGGACCTTCTTCAATTAATTGCATGTCCTATATCTAGGGTTCAACTTGAGAAAAATATATTATTTTCAAGGCCATTGATTCCAGTGCTTCAGTATTAATCTTTAATTTCTGTTTTCACCAAGTGGGTAGTGTATAATATAATTAGTCTATGCCTATAAATAATGGACATTTATCTATTGTGGTGCCATACAAAAGATTTACAATGAAGTTTCAGCTACTTTACTCCCTCACAATTTGTTTGGTGAGTTGTATTTTCTTTATATTTACATATATTTGATTTCTTATCCTTCACAATTTAATTAATTTTCTTTATCTAATTATCATTAAATTCTGAAAATTTTAAAAAAATGTTTATTATTGTATATATGTAGTTAGCTTTTGTAGCAAGTAGTGATGCAGCTATATCACCAGAGGTTTATTGGAAAATAAAAATGCCCAACACTCGTATGCCCAAAGTGATCAGAGATTTCCTTCCCCAAGCAGGTTAGTCTTAATTTGACTCGATGGATATTGTTTGAGGGAGGTAATTTAACGGTCATTGAGTAATAAGTCTTGAGAAAAATTTCAACTAAAATTTAATTTCTGAGAGAGGTGAAGGCATCAATAGAAAAATTATCAATAATTAAAGGTAAAATGAATTTGAATCCCATATATAAACACCACAAATAAAATTTAGAAATTTATTGCTGATTTGTTGTGAAATGAATTTTAAAGAAAATAAAGCTATGATAGAGAAGAAAAAGATTCTAGCATAGAAAAAAAATGTTTACGATAGTTAATTAAACAAATCTGACCCCTTAGATTATTGAAAGGTGTTAAAGAATGACAAAAGTCCCACATCGGTGGTTAATGAGATGGGTGGACTCCTTATAAGGCTTGGGCAATCCTCCTCCCTTTGAGCTAGCTTTTGGGGTGTGAGTTAGGCCTAAGACCTAATTTAACATGGTATCAGAGCAGGGCCCGTCTCACCCGATGTTGG